ACCAAAAGCGCATGGATGATATTTAAATCAGACATGTAATATAACCAAAAATAATAATTAAAATATAAATTTCAGTAGCTTAGTATATAAGTATAAGTGATTCTGAGACACAAAATAAATACAGTAAAGTTAAGCAAGTAATCATGATAACACCATACATTTGTATACCAAAAAACAAAATAAATAAATAATTGACACAAAGCAAGTACTAAATTTAATAAGAGAAAAAATTTGCAATTTTCAGGGCTTCGTGTGATGATTTGTATACAATGGAAATACACACATATCGGAATTATCACAAATGTTCATAAAAATTGCTATTATGCTTCAAATCTGGGACGATAACCAATTAGTTAAATTTAAATTACGCTCACCGACAGTACTCACAGTGTTCAATGTTTGAAAAACAAACACGTTTTTCCTTTTTTATTAATCTTCTACTGTTAATATTATTAACATACACAACATACACAATGAAATTTTGCTGTGAACAACTATTATTAACTAAATGTTGGATGTTCAAAACGTTTCTCTTTACCTTGACAATGATTCTCAGGTATAAATATACTTTTTCTTTCAATAATTAAAAAAAAAATCGTTGAGAATAATATTTATTTCCGAATTTCTTTTCGCCAACGTTTTTACTAAATATATCACAGACTTGTTAGAAAAGTTGGTGTTGCGGGTTCAGAACAAAATAACAAAGGTTCGTACAACTAGTCTACACTTGTTAAATGTGTGGATGTGTTATGGAATAGTATATGTATGTACTTATATAAGTTCAAAATATTACTTCAGTGTAACAATTCAATTTGTTTGGGAAGAGGTAGTTTTATTGAGCGATGGGTGAGCTTACTTATATAAAAATGATTTTGCTTTTGAAAAGTCTATGGAATATAAATTTTTATATTTACATTTTTTAATTTATGATTTGTGTCGTCCTGCTTTCATAAGATATATTACTTAAGACTGTACTTCTGAGTCGATGTAATTTTTGGAAGGTAATTTTTTGAAAACTGCCAGTAGTAGAAATACTATGCATATAGAATTGTTCGAAAAAATTGGAGCAACTAACAAGAGAAATAAAGCACATCTTATGAATTTTACAGTGATATTTAAAGGAAAACTTAATATAAAAATATATGTATACCTAACGCTGTAAATCGGTTAAATTATTTGGGACATTTTATTATATACAATTGACCACATCTGAAACTCTAAAACTCTATGAGAATCTTGACAACGTTATATTTTCCTTGTAGAGTCGTATAACTGTTTGCTATAAAAAAGAAGTATAATCCAATTAAAATGGGTATTTTGGCTACAATTGTCATTATTTAAAAAAAACACTTTCTGAACCAACAACTTTGCGAATTTTTACGTCCTAAAAGATAGACAATTCATTATATTACATATTTGACTCTTAAATATTGCAACAAATAAATTGATAGCAAGTTTTAAATTTAACTGTGGTTGTTCTTCTTTCATGGAACACGTGTGTACATCAACACAAATGAAATATATATACTTTTGAAACATGCGTTTAGCTTTGCCAAATACTATTACAAATTCATTTGAATAAAAGCTTTGACAAAATGATTCCCCTATAAATACAGAGTATCATGCTTGTTTTCTTAATCCCTTTTCAAACATATAATTGTAAGCAACAAGTTTATGTTAAGTAAGTTTTGCAATTACTATTTAATATTTGTAGAAAAATGGGTGAACAAAAATTTGTAAAGTAAAATTAATCACCAAAATATATAAGAAAGCTCAGGTTCACTGCCAAAAGATATTTATATGTATATCTAAAATGAGTGCATATGAAATAGGTATAGAGATGTGTAGGATTGATTGATTACAAAACGAGAAATGCACCGCGACCTTAGGTCTATTGTGCCCTCTCTAAAATTATAAACACTCACCCAGACCCAGCATATTGTATGGGATTACTAAAATATTTATATATATTGAAGTCGAAAATCTTTTAAACTTAAAATGGGTGCATTGTATGAAGTGTAGTAGTATAGTAAGAGAACTATTCGAAAAACGGTTACACTTTATTAATCTAAATTCATAGTTTTTGTTATTAGAAAAATGAGTGAATATAAATTCCATACATTAATATATAGCTCTGATTTATTATTTACCCTACAATTGTTTATAGTAGCCCATTCACAAAAAATTTCAAAACGATTGTGTTTTACTGGCTGGAATTAAAATGAACGATCTCCGAAATGGATTAGTTTACGTAGAACTAAATATATTGATTGTTAATTTGGTCCATATCATAATGCGCTTTTGCAACCACCAGTTTTTGAGTAAAGTTCTTACCTACTTAGACATAGACCTTTATTACTAAAAACTTAAGCCGGAGTATTAGAATCCTTGGATCTGCATACATTCTCTTATTCTCACAAATATATGAGGTTATTTGAGAAATTTATAAATATAAAACTATGTACGAATTTTTTATATCTATGTTAAGTCATTCCATTACTTGCTATTAAAAAATGTCTCCTATTTTCTCTTGGTGGCTTACGGTGCATACATATTTTTCAAGCTTATATAATTTATGCCACTATTTATCTAAACTGAACTGAAATGGATTCAAGAGTGTAATAATTTTGTATTTGAGTGTAATGTTGGTAGGAATCTTATTAAAACTGAAAAAAAGCCTTGATAAAATAACATTTTTTTAGATACATTCAGATTACTATGTAATTATTCATTATGTTAAACGTTAAGCAAAAACAATTGTCAAGTCTTTTATTAGCATTGCATAAGCTTATTTGCGAATCTAGACCTAAATAATAAAAATACATAATCTATTTTTTTTTATTTGCTTTGACTAATATGATTATTTGCTGTGCTTTTTTTTTTTTTTTGTTTTTTCCTCACGCAATGTGAAACTACTGCGTGTCGTTTCTTAAAAATACATTCGGGTCCAGAAACAAATAAGTATATAGCTATGTATACATGTATGTTCATACAGTTTACAATTCGTTTCAACTTACAAAAGGAAACGTACGTTATCAGGTTTACCCTCAGCTTCGCTCGCATCGAAATCTTAAATAAAGATTAAAGATCATTTACAAAAACAAATAACTAATAAAAATTCAATGCTTTGTTAGGGTTTTCAATCTTTAAAGTATACAAAGTTTTATGATGATCGGTTCAGTGGTTTCGATGTGAAAGCGTATATAACAAAATTTAATTCACGTTTATAATACTATATACAATTCAGGGATGTAATGCACTGCAATATTATAAAAACCCACTTCTTAAGCTCTAAATGTAGTCGAAAAAGATTTTAACACTAACATCGTAATATTGCAAATATACATATGTTTCGAATTTACCGTTCATTTTCCTAATTCACCTTGAAATTTAATTAAAACAGATGCAATTTCTTAATATCAATACGTTTTTTAGTATAAAAAACTCTTTTCTTACCATACCTTCGGAGAGGATAAATTCGGAAATAAAGTGAAATCAATATGATCGAAGATAAATACGTATATACATATACACCATCATTATAAAAATATTAAAAATAGCTCATGACTATGCTACTCGTACACTTATTGCAATAATGAAAAAAATGTTTTCCTTTTCAAACCTCAAATGTTGTGAAATCTGAATTGATGCTCACAAATCCATTGAAAATGTAATTAAACATAGTTTCTTTTATGGTAATGTATGTATGTAAAACTTATTTTAACATAAAACCTTTTACACTTAAAAACTCATCATTTACATATATTCAAAATAAGTATGCTCGTGAACTATTATGTGAGTATGCACACATAAGCATAATCACATAAACAGAGAAACGCGAAACGAATATAGATATTATTGTAAGTCATAAGGAGCAAACTTTGTAATTTACGAGAAAATAAAATTATTTGCTTTCAGAAATAATTGTATGAAATTTATTTATAATAACTTAGGACATAAAATCGCTTTTTTCCGTCTATCCTTTATGTAAAAAATGAGATACCCGTTCCTCAAGAATTTTTCTTTTACCAGTGAACATGGCACTATTTAATATGTAACTACTATACTACTGGTTAGAACATTATTTTATTGCCACTTTCTTTATTTAACGCAACACCTTAGTACATAACTGCAATGTTCAAAGCTACTTAGTATATACTGGACTAACGCATTACGTCAAAACTGCCAAGGCAAAACATCTACCCGAGGATCGAGATACATATATATAATTTGGACTATTAATTTTTTTCAATCCCATCATGAAATTTCCTGGGAAATACCGTAAAAAAATTCCCTAAAAATTAGAGCCCTTAATATTAACATTAAGGACTGGACCAACGCATGTAAAAATTTTGTATTGAAAATACACGAAAATCGTGATTTTTTATCTTTAAATGTATATAGCTTAGAGGCATTTTATGGCATCGCTTTGACTTTAGACACATATTCCTGAAAATTCAACACTCTACAAAAGTGCCCATTGCGACAAAGTCGAAACTCACACCGGCGAAGTAGCACGGGGCTCTAAAACTGTTTTTCCACGAAACTCCCATTTTTTGTGTATATCTTGAAAACGACAAGAGCTGTAGAAAAAATGAACATTACAAACTTGTAGGAAATATGATTTGCTAAAAAAAAGATCCAAAGGCAAAATCACCTTCATTAACACTTCTCGAGATATTCGGCTTTTTAAGTAAGCCTTTCTCATAGATGGTATCTAATAAAAAATGTATAAAATTTCCATACACTAAACGAAATCGTTTAGTTTATGAGGGTTAGGGTAGTATTGACCCGATGCCTATACCATATACTACTAACATGCCACATACTAAAAAAAAATCACTAGGTTTCATAAAGTCCTCACATACAATTACCAATATCACATTGAATAAAGTCAGCCAAATGTTCGAAAATCATGAATTTAGTTATGTGGGGCTAAGTCAAATTTTCATTAAATGTTATCCACTTTAGACCAAAGATACACTGTTATAATCAAACTCGCCCTCTCATTTCTATTGAGATACTCACATGCTGGCCGATATAAGCGGAATAAAGTCACTCGGTAGTTAAAAAATCTTTGAATGAATGGCTCCCATACGACATTTGCAAAGCCAGAAGTACATAACACTACATCAACTGGCAATAAGGGGCCGCATTGTTCTTATCGCACTGGTGAGCATAAAATCTACGTTTGCTCACAGTTCAGCCAGCTCGACTCCAAGGGTAAACTAACTACATTTACAAAGTTAGGTACGGGTATAAATTGTCTCAGCAAAATACATATCGTCACTAACTATCATAGCACATCGTCGTGTCCCATATGCCAACGGCGTCATCATACCTGGGATTGGATCACTACAAGGAGGACGGGCAAAGGGAGAAGTTACATTCTGCATATCAATGCGAAGGCTTGATACTAAATTTCAAGTAAGTACGATTATCTTACCGAAAATTACTAACCATCTCCCAACCTCCACTTTACCGACGACTTTTTGGCCGCATCTTACGGACTTGACACTATCGGCATTATTCCCAGTCCGGATCAATAGACATTTTAATTGGAATATATGAAGTAGACAAATTTCTACTACACGGACTACGTAAGGGTTAACAGGGTACACCAATGGCACAAAATACTGTATTCGGATGGGAACTGTTGGCAACGCTGTTAATTTAGGAAGTCCGCCGGTGAACATTTCAACTTTACTTTCCGACCTTCATTTAACTCAACTCATCCACAATACACAACTCGAAGAGCTACAAGATGTTCTAGCAGCAACGCACTTGAGGCACGTTGACTCAGAGGACAATCTCACTGATTGCTCTTCCCATGGCATGGCATGGTCCGGAATGGCTACATGAGAACAACATTAACTGGACGACTTCTGCAGAACCACACACTATAGATCTCGAGCTAAAATCTTTTTTTTTCACATGGTCAGAAAGTGCCTTTGCACATTTGTTGATTGATGCAGCAACTGAGTCAATTCCGAGATCGCCTTCAAAATCGTGACTGTGAACATACCAAGGCGCATTTACCGCACGTCTTAAAACTTTGCTTTGAAATCGCTGGATTTGTGCAGCAATGCTATGGCTTGGGTAGCCCCAATAGCCAATATATGTTTCTGATTATATTTCTAATTCTTACTTTTTCTTTTTGACATGTGCACTCCATCTAAGTTTTGTGTCCAGGGTCATGCCTAGGTAGTGATGGGACAAGGGTAAATACCCGAAAAGTAAATTGGGTATTTAAATGTAAATGGGTATTTACCCAAAATGTGGGTATAAATCAGAACAAAGAAAAATGTAAATAAATTAATAGAATTCCATTTTTTAGTTGGGAAAATCTGCCATTACATTTATGTTTAGCGCCTGTGACATAGTGTGAATGAACTCCAATGCATCTACTTCCTCAGACGGATCTAGATCACTTCCTTGTGCCTTAGGATTTAGCAAATTCGTAGCTAAATGTATCGGTTTTACCGTTTTTTTAAATCGTGTGTTGAATATGGTTGATAGCTCAGTTTTTTCGGCATCATTCAGTATCATATTTGAAGCAAACTCTAATTCAAGCTTGCTTTTAATTTCATTAAACTCGAAATATACCACGTGTATATTAAATACATTTGATTCTAGCGAACAAATCCATTTTGTAATGAAACCAAATATTTTTGAGCTTAAATTTAATTGCTCCCAAAATATTTCGCTAAGTAACTGTGATTTAATATCGGCTTGCAGATTAATTTCTTCATGAACTGCTAAGGTCTGAAGGGATGCTTTAGTTTTTATTACACTCAGCATTGAATAGTAGAAACTTCCCCACCTTGTTTTGGCTGGCAGTTTTAATTGTTTACCGATTCTTTTTCTTTCACAATTTTAGCTAAAGTTGCTGTTAGAACTTGGTTGTTTTTAATTGTTTTGATTATATTTACAATATTTGAGTAAGCCTTCTGTAAGGTATCGCATTTTAAAAAATCCTGACAAACTAAATGAAGGCTATGCGCTACACAACCCATAGGTACAACATTCGAGTAGGCTTCTTTTACTATTTTGAACGCTTTTTACATATTTGCAGCATTGTCACCAATTAACACAAACAATTTTTGTTCACCGTATTCCTTCATGATTTTAATAATTTCCTGTGATAAGTACTGAGCTGTATGCCGATTGGCCTGTGTTGACAGACTTTTCACAAATACAGTTTCTGGCTATGATATGAGAAAGTTTACAACACCTTCATTACGAATGCTACACCATCCATCAATTTGAATATGTAAAAAATTTGCTGCGTTTAGTTGCAGAGTGATGTCCATACTCATCTCGTTATAAATTTTATCCAGATATATGCTGAAAATCACTTTTCTAGTTGGAGTCTTGAAATGTGGATTAAGGTCCTTGAAAAAGTCCTTCCACAATGGGTGCTCCACCATTGCCAAAGGAGCGCCGGTTCCAAATATAGCCTTAGCTAAGTTGTATTATGCTAAATTCGAAAGAAGATGCTTTTTTAAATCAGATGAAGGCGGAGAATAAATGTCTGTCTGTATCTTGGTTTTTGCCACTTTGGATGCAAGCATGTCTTGAACTCATTGTTTTCTTAATAATGGACATTATTAATACATAATTGATGCACGTTATTATATGTTTTGCCATTTTATTTACATTCGCAAATTTGTACCGCTGTTCGCAATGTGAGCATGAAACTTCATTGATGAATAATTAACACGCGCACTTTATTTCACTTACTAATCGTTGGGAACAAATATTTAAGATGAAAAAAATTCTTTTTATGCACTTGATTCAGGTTGTTGTTGCCGTCGCTCCCACATATTGAATTCACATAAGCACGCTGATTAGCGGCTCTTATTAAGAATTGTTGTTACTTATGTTCATAGTAAATGTTCTCATTTCTGTTATTTTACGTAAAAACAAGTATATCTTAGTCAAATGAGTTTTTACTCGAAATTAGATAAATACCCGGGTATGAAACTGGGTATAAATGGGTAAATACCCTGCGCTGGGTAAATACCCAGGTCTAAACCCATCTCTATGCCTAGATATTTCGCAGTATTATGATGTGCTATTTGCAAACCGTTTAAGTGCAAAAGCATTTGAATATTTAGTATGTTATATGTGAAATCAATGTGTACTGATTTAGTTTCGTTTAATTTTATTCGCCATTTAGCTGTCCATTCATTCCTGCAATCTTGCAACTGATGCAGTTTGCCTTTTGCCGACAAAACTGACAGTGAAAGACCTAACACACTACCCTGAGGAACACCAGCCTTTATTTCCTTTAAATCAGAGTACATATTGCCATGTTTAATTCAAAAAAAAAAAAAACGTCCGAAAGGTATGATTTTAAAATATTGTAATATTTTTTTGGCAAAAGCATTTTAATTTTGTTTAAGAGCCCACCTTGCCAAACTTTATCAAAGGCTTTAGCCACGTCGAGGAAAACGGCCGAGCAAACTTTTTTCTGCAAAGGCATTTTCAAAGACTCCAGTTATTGTATGTACTTGGTCAATAGTGGAGTGATTTTTTCTAAACCAAACTTCCTCTCTTCAATTATGTTGTTAATACGCACAGCAAGCAGTTTTTCAAAAAAAGTATTGGCAAGAGAGATATGGGCCGATACGAAGTAATTTCATGCGCTGGCTTACCAGGTTTATTGAACATAATCACCTCTGCAGTTTTCTAATAAATAGATACGTATTGAAGATTTATAGTTAACGTTGTGAGGAAGCTGTTTTAGTATTTCAATAATGGGTCAAACCCAGTCGATTTTTTAGACTTCAGTTTTTTTTTATTTCTGCACATACCTCATCGTTAGTTATTAGAGGAATTCCGGTATAATTCTCGTAAGTAAGAGGTTTCGTTTCTGCTGCATTGGATGTGTCATATGGTTTGAAGACACCTTCAAC